ATTTATTGACACTTGTCTCAATCTTGTCCTCAGACTTATACCACTTGGCAAATGTCTACCCTTTTTGCCCAGCACTAGTGTCAAATCTCTTCCATCACTTACAATATTAAAGCATCTCCATAGCAGGACACTTTCTTCATAGAAGGGTTATTTTTTTTAATTAAAACAAATATATATAGTGAATGTATAATGCTTACATATGCGAATTAATGTCACAAATTATCCTGTATGTCATCAGTTTTCAAAAGTAACACAGTCATGTCAGGTTATCCTTCCTGTACTTCACCAACATGTTGTGCTTTGAGTTACAGAGCTAGAGAGATGCTCTCAGTAATTGGTCTATGCCATAAAATACGATTTAAAGTCGGTGAAGGGCTTTCCAGTGATTAAAAGCAAGAGAAGGAAGTGTGAAGGGTCCTGAGAGTGTGTATATTATTCTGGGAGTGTTTACTGTTTGGGGAATCTGTATATCATTGGTAGGGATGCTCTCAGGCAAGGTTAACTAGGTTGAAGCTTTAAATGAATGCAAATGTATCTGTCTGTTGTGGTTGTCATCCTTTCTTGTGACCATCAGCTCTTAAAGTTAATATCATCCTTCACCGTGACCCAATTGAAGTGGGCAGGGCCCATTTTTTCCTATAAAAGCGTGCTGCACTGGAAATCAGTCTCTCTCTGTTTTAATGCTTCTCCACTGTGCAGCATTTTTCACACTTGCAGAAGCCATTTGTGATCCAGCAGGAGCCATGTTGGCTCAAACACTCCATCCACAGGGAGCCATAGTGGCTCTGGAAACCTCCGCTGGGAGCCATCTGGGCCCGGCTATCTGAGACTCTGCCTGCCCTTACCGTGCTGGTGTGTTTTCCTGTTTCTGTGTGGGATGAGCGTCTATGTGGTGGTGAGATGTTCAATGTGTCGATCAGTGTGGGCACGCAGCAAAACACGTGGCCCAGATGTCCACCTACAGTCTGTCACACACCCAGTTTTACTCCAGGGTCCATTATTGATTTTGCTGAGGAAAAAATGTGTTTTTCACATTTTCACACTAAAATACATATTTTTAGCAAATAGCGGCAAGCATATCCATCTTGACTATTGTATACTGCAAAATTACTGCTCGTCACGTCTATCGCCTATGTGGGCCGGCATGACTTTTGTAGCTCACGTTTGGAGGTGTGGTTTTTGTCAAATAGTGAACAAATTGCTTTTTTATTAGTTTAAAACATTTAAATGACCAGCACCAGTGCTACTTATTGGTGACCCACTGCAGCCATATTCCTCGTAACCAAATGCACATAGTTGCGCTTGCTAAGAGTACACAAGTGGGGTTTATCATCCCTTGCCAATTATGACAAACATCACACTAACCATCCAATCTCTCAGCATGGCGGACTTCAGCATTACTTTGCGATGGTAAATTAGTACTGCAGACGTGGTAATGTGCTGCAATGGATGAGCGAAGTCTCGAGCCATCAGTAGATGTGTTTGGATACTGTCTGTGATATATCTTACATGATCTGTGTGGAAAGCTTTTCTGCTGCTCCCTAATCACACTGATGTATTCTCTGTTTATCCATGTTGTCTTTGTGTATGAGTCATGGTGTTGTGCCAGGAAAGAATACTGCAAAGGTATTAATCTTCGAGATTTGGGGTCATTGAGATTAAATTCATGTAATTGTATATTGCTTTATTAAGGCTTACATGAAACGTTTCTCCGAATTGCAGGCGAGTGCATTGAGTTTGACCTTGTATTTGGATAAGCAGGAGATTTTAAATCTATTTGCCAAGATAAAGACCATATGCTTTTCTCTCTAATTCAATCTCTCTCCCTCACAAACAACCTTATGCCTCAGAGACCCAGAATTGCAACGTTCGTAGCAGAATTGCAACGTTTGTATAAATGCTATTAAATATTACCTAATTTTAATTAAATTGGGTAAAAACAACACACAGCAGTAGCCAACGCTGAAATTTATCACAACTGTTTTGTTTCTTTTTACAAACTTCCAGCTTGTAAAGATCACAAAAGGCTCCAGCTAAGTGAAACAATATATAATACTTTTGGAACAAATGTATTTAGTGTAATCTATTATAGTAAGTGTTTGACATGTTTATTTATTGAAAAATGTTTACATCCCCTGAATTTATCTATGGTTTTCTGAAATCATTTTTTACGTTGTAAAAAATACATCATGAGTATCAGTGCTTCAGCCTCTGAGCATTGTCAGGAAGGAAGTCTAATAATGCATCATATGATGTGTTGAGTGGCAAGGGATGCATTAGATGCTGGTGGACAGGTGAAAAGATGCACTAAAGACAGTTGTAGACTATCTTGCAGGATCTGCTGCCAAAGCATATCTAAAACTCCCTCGTCTGACATTAGATGTAAGTGTTTTCTTTCTCAAAGACTTGATTATATAATGAAGGAGGCTAGCAGAGAAGCCACCCAGTCTATGATCTGTATCTGAGACACTCACCTTCTGCGAAACTGTATATAAAATTTAGTGTCTGAAATAGGAGGTAAAGCATGTACATTATGGACATGCTGTCAAAAGCACCCACCGTTAAATACCAATGACATTAAACATCCACTTAGCAGCCACCAAAAACACATGTTCTTAACCTCGCAAACAAGCTAAAACCACCCCGAGCACCCTAGCAACTGCTGAGCAACACCCTGGCAGCCACATCAAACTAGCATCATTTAATTAAACAAAATTCTGGTTTGACATCAGATTATTACTAATGAAAACCTGTTTAGTAGACTGGTTCACTTTGATGAACTCTTTGCCCTGTGTTCCAACAGCAAAGTACATGGGGTGCATAAAGCTGGTTGTGCGAGACCTAATACATTTAGCCCTCTGGCTAAGGCCAACCCAGATTAACGGAACATTCTGAGAGTGAACCCGGCCGGAGCCATTACCTTCTGCGTGTAGAGCATTAGTTTGCCGCCAAGCGGGGCCGGAGTGGGAGGGTAGTTGTTTGTCCCCATAATGTGAGGTTGGTTGTCATTCTTGTGTTTAATCAAAGTGCCGATTATGCCCTCATTAAAAAGCTTTTACTCTCCCTGCGTATGCAGCCTCTGCCTCCAAAGTAATTCCCAGCAGATTTCCCAAGGGGCTTCCTGGCTGAACAACCGCACTCTTAATCGTTCGACTCTTGGAGTGTCTTTTCACAACACCTGCTGTTTTTCACAAACCCATTTCACTTGCACAGTGTGGATGTTGCTTTGCTGATAGATCTGATTGTTAAGACAGATGATTTGATGGAGCAAGTTCTAAGTGGTGCTTGCTAAGGCAGCCTGTAACTTTTAGTATTCAGATTTGGTGCATCAAGTCACCCGAAAAGTTTGTGCTACAGACATGAAGGATACTTCAATTTGTGATGCTTGATGAGATGTATGCGATTGGATTGGGCGATAAAATGGTGAAAAATCCCATAGGCTTACACTGAAGAACCTGAACCATATCTAAGGATCAGGATATCACAGAAATAGCATCTTACATAGCAACTTACTCCTAGCAATGCTTAGAAACCACTCAAAATACCATAGCAATGGCATGGCAACACAAAGAAAACACCACAAACACCATAACAATTGCATATACACACACACACACACAAAAAAAAAATCAGACACCCTAGCAACCACCAAGCGACACTTGGCAACAATTGAATAGTTATTCTAAAGAAAGCATTCTGAATACATCAGCAACTGCATTGCAACTCATTGGCAACCACTCACAAGACCCTAGCATAATTTTCTTCAGAAAATGTAAAAATCAAGTTTAAGCATTTGAGTTCCCTATAATCATCTTAATTAATAAGACATTGTCATTAGATTGCTTTGATTAGAGCTTTTAGATTTTCTGTTGTTCAAAGACTTCTCTAAAACCTTGATGCGTCATACAGCGTGTAATTTCCCTTCTCTGTTTTGCGTGTTAAGAAGCAGTTAGATAATTCATCCTACCTTATTTTCCATTAGTAATGGGTTAATGTTTAAAGTGACTCACTTTTTCCCCCCCCCCCCTTTTCTTTCTCTCTGTCATCCTGTCTTTCTTTGAAATGCACTCTTTTTGTCCTTGCCTGCCGTCTTTGATCACTGGCCAATAAACAGCCTCAGTGCTCGGAGACAAATGTAATATATTAGTGGTGCGTGTTCCCTGGTGTCACCGCTTTAATTGAGAATGTCAGGCTAAAGTTAGCGCCAGGCTGAATCTTGACCTCACGTTTAATTGTGCGAGAAAGACGTGCCTAGCAGTGATGTCAGTGACAGGAAGTGTGTGTGTATGAGATGAGTGGGGGTATGTTGAAGGCCCCCCGAATTGCCTGAAGAACGAGCCGTCTGGACAATCAATAGATAGCTCAGCCTCCTCCAGTGATCTGTCTATTTAAGACAAAGCCACAGTAATGGAATCTCAGCTAATCCCAGATATACAGTACATTAACTCTTGCCTCGTCTCTCTCTCTTTCTCCTAGGTGGAAGTGGAGGTGGAGAGCATGGATAAAGCAGGAAACTTTATTGGCTGGCTTCACATTGAGGGTGTGAATTTGTCCGTAGCTCTGGTGGATAACGCCCTGTCGAAGGTCCACTTCACTGCAGAGAGAAGCTCCTACTACAAGACTCTGCTGTCTGCTGAAGAAACCGCTAGACAGAGGAAAGAGAAGGTGAGTTTGGTGGAAATCCAGCATGCCTCATGCAGACTTAGGCTCTATTCCAAAACCAACTATGCAGCATTTTAAATCATCATTGGCTCTATTTTGGCACAAAACCTGGGCTAACACAGTAGGCAGCAGCGTTATCTTTTAAGATACCTTCTTTTGGCCAAAATCTAAGGCAGCACCAAAACCCTTTTATGGTAAGCCAGTTCACACAGTGGCCATTTTGGCAACACTCCAGACAGATATTTTATTCATAAGATATTAAAAGATGTTGATAATGTTCAGTCTAATTAAATATTGACTGTTACCCAATATTTATGTTGCTATGTGTTTTTTTAACGCACTAGCATCAGATCCTGTTGGAATCAATTGTAGAATCTATTTGTGTCGCACACTGGGTTCCTGCCCTGTTTCAAATCAGTCCCTTACAAGTTTCCAATTAATTTAGGATGCTGCCTTTCAAGGGTATCTGCTTGTGTAAACAGTAGAAATCTGGGCCGCCCACTAGGTTTTGGAACAGAGCTTCAGTCTTCACTCAGGATCAGAAATTAAAATATCCTGCCCGCATCTGACAAGCAAAGAGATTCATTACTTATTATTCCAGATATCTTCCAGCCCCACTCTGCTAATAAATATTGTCTCTTTTCTGTCCATCATGCTTTGAGCTCCTGGTGCTGAGGCCAGAGCATGTCATCCAGTGTATATGTGAACAAAGAGAATACACAAATCTGTTGTCATGTTGCATTAGTTCAGGCAGAACAAATGTTCACCGGACCTCCAAAAACAGTGGGAGTTGGAGAGAAGGCACAGGAATGAGTGTGTAGCTCAGGGGGTGCCACAGGGCTATGTCTTTGGCACTATCAGTTTTGTTCTCTTCTCCCCACTAAGCTGTGATTGATGAAACCCTCTTCGTCCCTGATCTCAATCTCTCTCTTCATTTTCATTATGGCCGAAACAGCCCATGGAAAGCAACGGTCCTGGTGGACAAACAACACTCCTGCCAGCTGTTTCTTCTGTCCTCTATCCCTCATTTGGCGAGAGAGAACGGTCCCGTGCTGATAACAATATGATCTACTGCCCAAGGCGGCAGAGAGCGTGTTTCTGTCTTCCTTGAAAAATCCATCATTTTTTTTTCATCTCTCTCTCTCTCATCTCAATCTCTCACCTCTACAAAATATCGCACAAAGTTCCAAAACATATAGCTGCATCTTTTTTTCAAAGGCAGTGCTATCTGCTTCCAGCTCCCGTGAAAATAGCAACCAATCTGAAATGTGCATCCATAGATCTTCCCTTCTGATTGAACTTATGCCTGGCTTAAAAAGTCAATCTTGCTTTTTTACACTCCCTTAGATATGCGCACAGACACTCGCATATGCACACTCACTTGCACACCTCTCTGCCTCAGTGTCACCTTGCTGTAAACAAAGCATGGCATGTTTTGCACTGACACCTTGAGGAAAGCACAGTTTGACCCTTATTTCCTGTGCTGTCGCTTTCCCAGTGGGTTGGATTGACTCACTGATTTGCTGACAGTGAATCAAAGACGACAAGTTTGGTTTGTTGTGCCCCAATCTTCTGCTCTCTGGCCCTGTGGCTGTCTGGAGGGGGCCACCAGCTCAAGGCCACCCTGATGTGAATGTGTTTGTGGAGAGAAAAAAGTCGCCACCCATGAATTGGACAGCTGCATTGTTCTCAAAGATTGTAGATGCTGGTTGTCGGGTCTGTCCCAATCCATGCTTGAATTTTCCAGGCCACTCTGGATAATGGAAATAATTAACCCTTCAGGACAAGTGGAAGATGGAAAGGAAAGCTGAGGGCAGCATTTATTTTCTATTGATGGCCTTCGTTTCCACCACAGCCAGATGTTGATATTTTTTTGCATTGAGCAGTGTTTATTTTACTCGTGTTTATAGTTCCCTTGTTGGTGGATGGAGAAGTGTTAGATGTTTGCGGTGTCAGGTGTCCAGTTCAGAAAGTTACACTAATGAAATGCACTGGGTTAAGTTTCATTAAAAAGTGTGTTTTCTCACTTTTCAATGTTCTTTTATAATGAAAGAAATAAAGTGGTCCATTACTTTAGAATAGTGGTCCAGTGGCTGTAAAACTGAGTTTTACCAAGGGAGACCAGGTGATTTTAATAAAGAGGAGCTTGAGGTTTCATTTTAAGAACTTAGAGTTTTTGTATTATCAGCAATTGAAAATTTTAGGCTTATAGTATATTATATTGTTTTTGATTAATTTTGTTGGGGTTTTGTATCGGATCACTGAAAGATCCATGAGTTTTACCGCATCTAAGTGGGCTGTTCAAAGCCCGAATGTGCGGTTGCATGGACCAGACATCATAATCGAAAGTATCGCCATGCAAGACTAGGTCTTGATTTCTTCCTACTATTAATTCATTGTTGATGAGCAGAGACGTCTTGGTAAATCTTGCATTGTATTTGTTTACTCGCATGCAGAAACAGGTCCCATGAACACCTGCACACTTTCTTTGCTCACTTTCATTTTGTCGCAGTTTCCCTATAGGTTGAGGGAATGCATTTAAAAGTTCCTCTCAATATCATGTACCATCAGCGCCAACACTGCTCTGAAATGTAAACAGTTGCTGCATGGAGATGTTAGAACACTTCTGGTTGCCGGGCAACAGAGTTATGGCTGCTGATTAGAGAGCGGTTTATGACCCAGTGTGCACCGAGCCAACCCACATTCTCACATCTCACAACACAAGCTATTAAAAGAGCCTACTTGTAATTACAATACTCATAACAATTACCAATTATGAGGAAGCAAATCTGAAAAGAAGTCAGCTTTCTGTTGAGAAACAAGGCCTTCTGTCATCTCATATCTAAGATTGGTCTACTTCAACCAGGCTCTGGTGGATTGCCCCATGATTCTAGAAAACTGGGACAAACCAACCACTGATTACTATCCTCCCTTAGATCATCATCCTCATCATTGTTCAGAACATCACTGAGCTTGTCCACCTTTCCCCCTCTTAACAGTCCCGCCGCTTCCACAGTCACTCGTTTGTCGTCTTGTTCCTGCCTTTTCTAGTATTATTGGGGCATAATTCCATCACCAGGGGGTTGATTTCAGCTCTAATAGCCTCCCCAGGCTCTCATGTGCTTTACAACACCCGTGACAGGATTCCACAGGGGTTGAGAAGGGCAGTCGTCTGCTTGTGACATTTAAGATTGATAAATTTGTATGGTGGGTGAATGCAGCTCAACGCCACATATCGTCCGCATCTGAGGTCTATAATACCTGGAGAAAGGATGAGAACATAAATATAAGTTCTTTCTATACTATTAAGTTACCTCCAAATCAATCAGACTCTGGTAAAATAACATATTTGCAATTCATAGGACTCTTGTAAAAACTGATTCGGGCAGAATACACCAGCATTTAAATGAGCATCACAGAAGAAAAATGCTAACCTGACAAATGCTAGACCCCTTGTCTGCAGTGGTTTCTGAAAGAGTATTTCTGTTGCTCTTCATTTGCCTGAATCCCTCCTGTTGTGAAGGAATCTTTTACAAGGGCCTCATCAGTGGACAGCTACACCAAATTTCAGAGGAATGTCTTTGAGTACCAGTTAGCTAGCGAGAAGCGGAACCACAGTGCAATTTTCTTTGAGACACTTGAGTGCCAAAGACAATCAAAATATACAAATGAAACCCAAATGTGCCTAGAAATATTTAACCAGTTTTTTTTTTTAATTGACGTTGTACTTCTCCGAGTTAGTGAGAAATCCATTGTGCTTTAGTGGAAGCTTCTGTGAGTTGGCACTTTTTACCTCTGGCTAATCTGGAGCGAGCCAAGGATGAATGAAGGCAGTGGGAGGCTCAGGTCAGTCTAATGGAACCCAAGTTTTCAGACTTGCATTACTACATTAATATTTAACTTGGAGATGAAAGCGCAGTGCGCGCTATCATTCTTTAAGAGTTATATTTTGTTCATGTTGAACAATGCATTTTAATTAAAGGCCGTCTTTTAATTTCCTCTGATGGAAGTGATTTCATCCTGAAAACTGACTTGCTTGAACACACAAATATATCATAATTTCTCTGTTATTCACAACAAAGTGGCCTAAAAGTTTTAACGCTTTTTATATCATGCTCTCTTTTTTCAGCTCCAGAATCAGTGAAGCAGTGGCTGTTTCCATGGCAATATTATAAAACTCGACAAGATAATTACATACATGCCACAGATGAGGTTATCTGAGTGCTTGAGAAAGTAAATGCTATTCTGGAGTTTTCAGGTGTTGGGTTCGCAGATTTGAATTTGAGTTTTTCCCAAACTCGATCAGATTTTATTCAGTCAGTCATCTTAAAGTACTTTATCAGAGGTGATTTCCTCACTTTGTGTGTGTGTGTGTGTGTGTGTGTGTGTACCTGGTATTTATCACGTTATGGGGACCAAATGTCCCCACAAGGATAGTAATACTAGTAAATTTTGACCTTGTGGGGACATTTTTGAGGTCCCCATGAGGAAACAAGCTTATAAATCATACAGAATGCGTTTTTTTGAGAAAGTAAAAATGCACAAAGTTTCCTGTGAGGGGTAGGTTTAGGGGTACGGTTGGTGTAGGGCAATAGCACATATAGTTTGTACAGTATAAAAACCATTACGCCTATGGAATGTCCCCATAAAACATGGAAACACAACGTGTGTGTGTGTACGTTTTTCTATCCCAGTGGGGACTTAAACCGGAATACACACCCAACTCATTGGGACCGTTGAGACCTAACTTAAGGTCCTCATGGGAAAACAAGCTTGTGTGTGTAAAAGTTTTACATGTTGTTTTTTTTTTTTTCTTCTTTAATAAATAACATGAGCTTATAAATCTTTCACAATAAGACCAGGAAACATGTATTAATCAAGTAAATGGGGTCTTGACTTAAGGCAGGTTATTTAGAGTGGCATCTCTTTCTCTCTCTATTTCATCATGCTTGTGCCTTGAGTTGCTGTAAACTGCATTAAGTGCTGTGTAGAAATGGCACTAA